TCCTGCATCATGTGTGTGTCCATCATGTACATCTATGGTAAGTGCCAAAGTTCCCAGGCCTCCCGTGTCCCAGCCCCTGGCCTGCCCACTCTGTCCTGTAAGTCTGCTGACTCTCCCTCTCTCTAGGGCACCGGAGCTACTTCCAGGACATCCAGATGATGCTGGGATTCCCACCACCCCTCTTCTTTCAGATTTGCTGGCGCTTTGTCTCTCCAGCTATCATTTTTGTGAGTTCCCTGATGGGCCCCTCCTTTCCCCTACGGCCCTTGGCCAAATGTCCTTCTCTTGATAACCAGCAGAAGGGGAACAGGAGCTCCACACCCACAGCTGTGGCCATGAGGATACTAAAGAGGCTGGCTAGGTGTGTGGAGGCCTGGCTGGGCTAGGAAGGGAATGCTGAGCCTCGTGTTTAACTAAGGACACTGCCCAGGCTCAGAGAAGGAGAGCAGCTGGCAGCAACCTGAGTGTGTCAGCCCTCCCTCCTTGCTGCTCCTGCCTGGAGTCCCCAGAGGGGCCTCAGGAGTCATTATTGATATTGGTGTATCCTCAATGCAGCCTCTGCCTCCCCTATCTCACCTCCCATTCCTCATAGAGGAGAGGCTCAGGGAGTGTGGCTATGTGGTGTGAACATGAGTGTTCCACAAGCAACCCCAGGACCTGTAGATGCAACTTCATAAGCCTTCCAGCAGCAATGCAGGCTGGTTTAGGAGGGGATGTTTCTGGTGCCATGAATACCATGTATTCAACAGCTAGGAAATTCCCATCAGGGAGCTGAACTGGTAGAAGGAAGGCACCATGGCAACAAACTAGACATTGTCTGTACACTGTTCATTTATTAACTCCTAATACAACTCTGCAAGGTATAATTGTTACCCCATTTTACAGCTAAGGAAACTATTAAGTAATTGGCCCCTGACTACACAGCTAATAAGAGGCAGAGCCATGATTCAAATCACAGAGTCTGATTCAGAGCTCAAGGGTGGGCCTGCGCTAGCTAGGAGCACCTCTACAAGAGGGAGGAATGGTCCAGGGCTAAATCCATATGCCTTGGCTCCTTTATTTTGAGACAGTCTCACTCTGTTTGCCCTGACTAGAATGCTGTGGCATCATAGCTCATAGCAACCTCAAACTCCTGGGCTCAAACAATCCTCTTGCCTCAGTCCCAAGTAGCTGGGACTACAGGCACCCACCACAATGCCCAAATATATATATTTTAAAAATGGGTGTCTCTCTTGTACAGGCTGGTCTCGAACTCCTGAGCTCAAGCAATCCACCCACCTCAGCCTCCCAGAGCGCTAGGATTATAGGCATGAGCCACCATGCTCAGCCCTTGGTTCCTTTCTGTTTGGGATGGGAAGCAGGGGAGAAGGGGGGCACTCCACAGAGGAGAGGCAGGGCTGCCTCTGAGTGACAGTAGGAAGGTTGGCCCAGTGGCAAAAGCAGTGTCCATAACCACACTCTTGTCATGTTCAACTCCTCAGAGCCACAGGGAGCTCAGCACTGACATTCACTGTGGCTTATGTTTCTGAATGAAAGGCCAGCAGAGGGCTGAGGGATGTGGGATGTTCCTGAGCCTGGCACAGGCACCAGCTCTGGCCACTGGCCCAGCCTTGAAACAGGAGGAGCGGAAGTCTCCTGTCAGTGGAAGGAGGCTGGGGGAAGCAGGCCCCACTGAGTAGCTTGTGCCCTCTGGGCTGTGTGGCCTGAAGGCAGCTCAGCAAGGGGGGCAGCTCCCCATATTCAGGACACACTGCCTTCTAGGGGGATAGACTGGGGCGCAGGCACAAGGCTCTGTAGGGGCAGCCTCAGCCTGGGCCTGGCATCTCCACAAGTTTGTGGCAAAGGGGGCAGTGTCCTCTCTGTCCCCAGGGAGTCAGAATGGAGTTACATTAGGGGGTGTGCTAGGCTGTGAACACGTCTGTTTCTCTTGTGCTATTGCAGCTTATTTTAGGGCTTTACTTCTTTATGTCCCTGAAAAGCTCTTTTGGACAAACTCCATCCTTCTGTCAACTCAAATAAGGAGATTATCCACATGTAGGATCAGGATCCAGTTCCATTATGGAGCTCTTCTTATGAAGGGTCCCCCAGTTTCAGTGTGGGTCTTGCATTCTAGAATTTGGTCACAAGGAAGGCTAGAGGACCCGAGCTCCAGGATGCAGCTGACGGCCTGTAAGAAAGATGCCGAGCCTTCCTGACACACCAAGGCACTCTCAAGGCTCTCTGGGTGTCCCATGAGACCCAGGCCTGTCCCTCTGCTTCCTGTGAGGACACTGCAGGCTTTATTTCCCATCTCATACATCTCTTTCCAGAGAACCGCCCCCAGAGCATCCATAGCATAACACATACCTTTTCTGGCCTTTGGAGGCTCCCTGGACTGGCTGTCACTCTCTCCACAGCCATAGGCAGGCAGTGCTTCACCCAGCCCTCTCTCCCACCCTCAATCCCCACCTTCTGCACAAATCCATATGAGACTGTGCCAGGCACTGTACTGGGCACTGGAGACTCAGAGCTGATGCAATCTCAAGAGCTCCCAGGGATTAGGAGCATTAAACAAAGTAACTCTGTGGTTCTTAACCTTCCTGATGCCTCCTAAAGCCATGACCCTTTAATACAGTTCCTCATGTTGTGGTGACCCCCAACCATAAAGTTATTTTCGTTACTACTTCATAACTGTAATTTTGCTACTGTTATGAATCATAATGTAAATATCTGATATGCAGGATGTATTTTCATTGTTACAAAGGGGTTGCGACCCACAGGTTGAGAACCGCTGCTCTAAGAGCTCAGCACCTGTAGCTCACTGGCTAAGGCACCAGCCACATACACCTGAGCTAGTGGGTTCGAACCCAGCCCAGGCATGCCAAACGACAATGACATCTACAACCAAAAAAGTAGCTGGACATTGTGGCAGGCACCTGTAGTCCCAACTACTTTGGGAGGCTGAGACAAGAGAATCACTTAAGCCCAAGAGTTGAAAGTTGCTGTGAGCTGTGTTGGCACGGCACTCTACCCAAAGCAACATTTGAAGAGTATGATAAAGAAAGATCTCTCCCCTCCCAGTGCTTTCCTGCCCACCCCACCCTGGACCCCAGTTCTGTCTACTTCTTCTACTGCTCACATGTTGACAGTCACCCCTACCCTACCCCAGATGCATTTCTAGCTTGGGGAGCTGGAGAGGAAGGGGTACTACTGATAGGGATACCTGGGTCTGGGAGGACTCTGGGCAGGCTGACACCATTCCCACCCCACTCTTGCAGTTTATTCTCATCTTCACTGTGATCCAGTACCGACCCATCACCTACAACCACTACCAGTACCCAGGCTGGGCTGTGGCTATTGGCTTCCTCATGGCTCTGTCCTCCGTCCTTTGCATCCCAGTCTATGCCCTCTTCCAACTCTGCCGCACAGATGGGAACACCCTCCTCCAGGTGAGGGCTGGGCAGCCAGGTGGGGAAGGGATGGATGGGGCTTAAAGGCTCCTTCTGACTTGCCCTCTGCCTCTCACACAGCGTTTGAAAAATGCCACAAAGCCAAGCAGAGACTGGGGCCCTGCTCTTCTAGAGCACCGGACTGGGCGCTATGCCCCCACCATAGCTCCCTCTCCTGAAGATGGGTTTGAAGTTCAGCCGCTGCACCCAGACAAGGCCCAGATCCCCATGGTTGGCAGTAATGGCTCTGGCCGTCTCCAGGACTCCCGGATATGAGCACAGCTGCCAGGGGAGTGGCCCCATCCCCACCCTGTGCTCCTACCACAGAGACTAGGGAGGCAGTGGACAGGTGTCACCACCTGCCCCCTGCCACACCCTGGCCAAGACGGCTGCTGTCACCTTGGCCACCACTGCTAGTGTGGTCATTTGTGCTCATGTCCCCAGTGTTTACACGTCCTTTGGTTGCCAAGATGGCAGCTGGGGATGGGGATTACAAGAGGAGGGTTGCCGGGGAGCCCAAAGCACTTTGGAGGGGTCTTGGGCCAGGTCCTCTATGGCCTGCATGGCTTTACCTGGCCTCTGATGCCCTCACACTCTGCCCTGAGCTGAGGCTCTGGGTGGGTCCCCACTTGTCCCCTCCTTGGGCCCCCAGCTCCATGACCAGTGTTCCTGCCCTCTGAGCAGACTCCAACCTCTGCCTAGGCAAATTTGGATGTTCCGGGCTGGGGGCAGGGCAAGGGGCTGGGGGGCTGCACAGTGTTACTTGTCAGGCTATATTGCCCAACCCTGTTTATCTGTGTAATTATTTTTGTAAAAAATGTATTATCTGTGGTTGCCACCCCCCCCCCAGCCTTGGGTGCAATCTGTCTTCCAGGCCTGCTTGCACCTCACTCTGCTGCTCTGGGCTCTCTGCCCCTTGACCCAGCCCTGGCTGTCAGGCCTAGCCAGCAGAGGCCCATGACCCAGCAGCCGGCCCAAAGCACTTGTTTCTGGGGGATTGAGGTGGGAGCTGCTCAACAGGAGGTTCAAGTCCAAAACCCCGGGGAAGGGGACCTTGCACGGCAGCACCTTCCCCCGACCAGGCTAAAGGCCCAGTGTTCCCAAATGCGCTGCCCTTGTTCACGTGCCAAATGGCCCCAACCTGTGTGTCCCCATCCTCTCTCTGGAGCCAGAGCTCCTTCTCCCAACACTGCAGTGTCTGTTTGTCCATCTTCTGTGCCCTCTGTGCAGTGACAGCCCCAGCCAAGCCAACTCTAATCCTCTGTAGCAATAACGGTGCACCACCCACCCCTGCCCATCGTGCACCACTAGGATTTTAAAGTCCATAGATTTTAATGAAATTTCTATTCCTGTCTCTGAGTTGCTGCTGTGCTTTGTCTGGGTCCCCCACAGAACAAGAGTCAGGGCTGGGATGGGACCTCTGTTTGGAGGAGAAAGGCCAGAGGCTTTGAGCATTGGGATAGATGCCCAGCCATACAGCCCCAGATATCTGGCAAGGGGGGGGCGGAGGAAGGCAAGGGCCAGACAGCAGCCTTGGGGTCCTGGCAAGAGCTCATCCAAGACTTGATCTCAAGCTAGTGGGGCCACAGCAGCTGAGAGGCAGAAGATGGGGCACATTTCAGCAGAAACTGAAGCCCACCTTGTGACCAGCCCTTCATGTTGGGGCCTGGGACACCTTACTGGACACCAGGGTGGAAGCTGCTCCTTCCCTGGAGCTGCAGTGAAGCTGCCGTCCCCAGCGGCAGGTGGCAGCCCGGCGTCCACGTCGGGGACAGTGCTCCAAAGGTGGTGCAGGCAGGTGGTGTTGGAGGGACACAGCCCAAACTCCAGCAGCCCCACGGAAGCAAGGAAGCGGTCTGAGGCCCCGAGTGGAGGACCTCAAGGGCCACTGCCTGGACAGGAAGGAGGAACTGTAAGGGGGCAGTGGCCTGACCCTTCAGCCCACCCCTCCTGGCCATTTTCTGCCTTGGTTTACCTGTGGTTGGAAGAAACACAAGAAGACCACAGAGATGCCTGCAGCTCCTGCTCCATGGCTCTCCTCTGTTCCTTTAGCTCTGGAGGATAGATACAGCTGAGTCACAGTGCCCAGCTTCTCCAGGGTGTAAGTACAGGGCAGAGAGAAAGAGGCTGGGTGCTCTGGGGCCTGCTTAGGGTCCTCACCTGCCAGGGTGGGCTCCAGAGTTGCCTCACAGGGGTGGCAAGCCTGCAGGGCCTCCTCTTCCAGGCAGAGCTGCAGGGAAAGCAAGGTCAGTACCCAGCCTTAAGGGAAAGATCAGGCAAGACAGGATACAGAGACCAGCATCCCTAGGGCAGGGCCCAGGAATGAGCCTATGCAACTCCCTCAGTCCAATGATCATGAGCACAGACCCTCCAAGGGAACTCCAGCCCTGCTGAAAAGCTGAGTTTAGTGAGATAGTCTGGGCCTGTCTCCAGACTTAGGCAAAGGAAGGAGGCAGAAGACCTGAGGCAAATCCGGCAGCTTAATCTAAAACTCCTAGACTTAAGGGCTCAACCAGAAGCTTGGGTTTCTAGGATTTCACACAAACACACAGATGTGCACACATGAGAAATGGATGAAGGCATCACACCACCTTTATGTGCACATCTGTATAAGGACACACCTGTACATGAGCCTCATATACCCTGGTGAGAAGCCTGTATTTATGCCCAGCAGTGAGGGTCAGGGGTAGGGGGAAGCCCAAGGCTGCAGCTCACCTGCAGGATGGGGATCTCCTTCTCCAAGGTGCGACACTCCTCTTCTAGGAGGCCCCTGGGACACAAAGGAGCATAACAGCCAGAACCAATGTCACAGGGCCAAGTCTCAGCTGAGCCTTCCACATGGTCCCAACCTCCAGCTTCACCAAAAATCCCCTCCAGCCCCTTCTTTCTCAGCCCACATTGCTCTCTGCTGCCCAAGGGCTGCCAGCATTGACTTCTGGCCCCCAATCAGTCTCTTTCTGGGGAGGATGTGTCTTCTCTTTGACCACCTCACAGTTCCCACCCTGGTAGCCACTGTCCTTTCCCTTCTGCACTATTGCCCTAGGCCTACTTAAAACCCTTCTGTGGCTACCCTCCACCCCATCCCATGTCAGGGTAAAATTCCTAGGGCTGGCTCGGCACCCGTAGCACAGTAGTTACAGCACCAGCCACATACACTGAGGCTGGTAGGTTCAAACCCGGCTCTGGCCAGCTAAACAACAATGACAACTACAACAAAAAATAGCCAGGGGTTGTGGTGGGTGCCTGTAGTCCCAGCTATTTGGGAGGCTGAGGCAAGAGAATTGCTTAAGCCCAAGAGTTGGAGGTTGCTGTGAGCTGTGACGCCATGGCACTCTACCAAGGGCAACATAGTGAAACTCTATCTCAGTGTAAAAAAAAAAAAATTCCTAGGAATATGCCCCCTCTGACATCCATACTTGGCTGCCTCCTGGTAGCAACCTTATCAGCTCTGCAGCAACTGGCTCTGTCCCAACACTCAGTCAGACACAAGGCATGTTGTCCACTTTCTCATCTCTCAGTCCACCTTAAGACCCATCCCTGTCCCCTGCCTTGTCTTCATCCCCACCTAAACCCATTCAGGTGCCCCTGGGCCTCACCTCAGATGTCTGGCAACCTGGTCAATGTTGGATACATTCAGCTGATTCTTGATGAGGCTGAAATCCCTGTGACTGCTGCTGGCTGATGAAGTCAATGTCACTCTCCCTACATTGCTCACCCCAGACCTTCAGGAAACAAATATCACTTCTCCTAGACAATTTTCTCTTTTTTGACACAGGCAATATAATATAGTGCAATGAGTAAGAGTTTGGGAGCCTGGGGTTACAAATGAGTTCTGCTAATCTTCACTGTGTGTGACCTCAGGCAAATCACTTATTCTTTGTGAACTTTACTTTCCTCATATGCCAAATGAGGATGTTGCCCATCTCCAGGGAGGTGTGAGGCATAGATTAAGAAGCCATTACAGACTGGGTGAGGTAGCTCATGCCTGTAATCCTAGCTCCTGAGAGGCCAAGGCATGTGGATTGCTTGAGCTTAGGAGTTTGAGACCAGCCTGAGAAGAGTAATACCTCAACTCTACTAAAATATAGAAAAACTAGCTAGCATTGTGGTAGGCACCTATAGTCCCAGATAAATGGAAGTCTGAGACAGGAGGATCTCTTGAGCCCAAGAGTTTGAGGTAGTTGTGAGCTATGATGCCAAGGTACTCTACCCATGGTAACACTGAGACTCTGTCTCAAAAAAAAAAAAAAAAAAAAAAAAAAAGCAGGCCCGCCACAGTGGCTCACACCTGTAATCCCAGGAGGCCAAGGTGGGTGGACTATATGAGCTCACGGGTTTGAGACCAGCCTGAGCAACAGTGAGACCTCCTGTCTCTAAAAATAGCTGGGCATTGTGGTGAGCACCTTTAGTCCCAGCTACTTGGGAGGCTGAGGCAAAAGAACTGCTTGAGGCTCGACGCCTATAGCTCAACCGGCTAAGGCGCCAGCCACGTACACCTAAGGTGGCGGGTTCGAATCCCCAGCCCGGACCCGCCAAACAACAATGACGGCTGCAACCAAAAAATAGCCGGGCGTTGTGGCGGGCGCCTGTGGTCCCAGCTACTTGGGAGGCGGAGGCAGGAGACTCGCTTGAGCCCAGGAGCTGGAGGTTGCTGTGAGCTGTAATGCCACGGCACTCTGCCCAGGGGGACAGCTTGAGGCTCTGTCTCAAAAAAAAAAAAAAACAAAAGAACTGCTTGAGCCCAGAAGTTTGAGGTTGCTGTGAGCTGACACCACAGCACTCTACCAAGGGCAACAAAGTGAGACTCTGTCTCAAGAAACAAACAAACAAAAAAAACCATTGCTGTCCACTTGTGAACCTGTATCTCATTCAGTCCTAAGTTTCTGCCCTCCCCCTACCTCTCTAGCCCAGCCCTCACTACTGTTCTCTAGGCCTGAGGAATAACTGCCCACTGGACATGACCACCTTTCCTCCCTCTTTCTGCAAAGCTCTTCTCCCTTTCATCTGTTAGAAAACTGCTCCTCATACCACAACACCCAGACCAAAGTAGATGCTTTCTCCAGAAAGCCTTGCTTATCCTTGCCTGGGTATCTATAGCCGGCATGTACTGGTCTCAATCATACGTGTCTGTGTCCAGCCCCAGACTGGGAGCTCCTCCATGGAGCCAGGTGGATCCCACCAGTTGGCTGGGGCCTTCTGCCAAGTAGGAACGGATTCCTGCTCTCATACCACCACTTTACCTGGGTTCACTATCTCTTATCTGGAATATCTCCCGGTCTGGCAAATTACACTTGGGCTCTTCCAAGGCAAAGCGCAGGACCCTGGGGCTATACTGGACCCAAGCTTGGGCCTGGTCCCTGCAGAAGATGCACATGAAGAAAGCTGAGGAGCTCCTTTCAGGAAAACACAGGAAAGGCAGGGGCAGGGCCAGCCCATCCGGTGTCTGGGGAAGGGGCCCAGGACTGAGGTGAGGCTCCCACCTGCCCTCACAGATGGCCTTGTAGCGGAGACCCTGGAGCAGCTGCCGGATTTCCTGGCGCACAAGGTCCCTTATGAGGGGTGATGGTGCCAGAAGAGAGGAAGGGTCAGAGATGGGGGTTGAGCTGGGGGCTTGGGAAGATCGAGCTTCTTGGAGCAGTGCCCATAACATCGCCACCTGCAAGGAGAGCTGGGACACCTTGCAACTGGTAAGGGATGTGAGCGGAGTGGGATGGGCGAATAGAGGAGTGTGGGGTAGGGCAGAGTCAAATGAGAGAGTACAAGGGCCGACGGTAAGACCTGACAAGATCTCTGGAATCCCTGGGCAGGGTCAGGGAGAGGGGGGAAATCAGCCGAGTCGTGAGGCAGGCCTGGGGCGTGGCCCACCTTCCCACACCCCACCTCCTCCCACAGCTCCAGGCTCAGGTCCACCGCCGCTTCCCCCAGAATCCTCTTCACTTCGGGCCGCTCCTGGAGCGGAACATGCTCCTTCACCAGCTCCCACAACGACGGGGAGTCCCAGGGCATGGCTTGCCCGCGCCGCAGTCTCCAGCTCACACCTACGGGGCAGCAGGTCACAGCGCCGTATTTGTGTGCCCCGCCCCGTCCTCACAGCCCCACCCCCAAATCCAGGCCCAGGTACGGCCGCCAGCCCTTGCGGCCAGAATTACCCCGTCCAGAATCCCAGTCTCTGGCGCTATCTTTTCTGCCCCGCTTATGTCAGGATCTCCGTGGACACAGTCCCAGGCCACCGCGCCCCGGAGCCGGGAAGTGGAGCCCCACCCCGCCTCTTCCGCGCGGCCGTCACCAGGGAAACCGCGCAGCTACCCACCAGGCCCCGCCCCGCGGCCTTGCTAGGTCCGGCGCGAAGGGCTGACTGCGAGCTCTGAATTGCCGCCGTGGTGAGCAGTGCTTAAGAGTGGGACCATTCCCAGCCCTGATCTCAGGCACCTCGGGATCATCCCTGGGCACCTTCCAGCCCCCGGTAAGTGTTAAGAACCAAGGATTCTGAGCCCAGTCGGTTTATCACTTCGTAGGCTCGACTAGCCGGGAGGGGGAAGCAGTAGCGTGAACTTTTCCTCTTAAGAATTAGAATGGCCGGTACCAAGTGTCCTTCCACCGCAACACATTCAGGGTAACTAGGTTCAGGGACGGATCCCCCATCCCCAAACAGATAAGGGAGCTTTTTCATTCACGTTTTTTACTAAAGCACCCACACAAGTTTCTGTGCAATGTACAAACAAGAGCCGGCCCTGGGGCCACTGCTTCCTCTCTTGAGACAGGGAGGCGGGAACCAGAATGACTGATCCAAGCCCCACCCGCCCGCCATGCAAAGGCCACCGCAAGACCCCAGGCAGCAAGTGACACAGCACTCCCTCTGGGCCCCTCCTGGGGCTGCTCCTCAGCAGGGGGCACACCAAACCTTGGCCCCATCATGTTGAATGAAAAAGGTTTCCCCTCCCCTGGGAGTAAGGGGTTCCTCAGATCTGAGAAGTCCTCCTGGAAGAGACACTGACCTCTAGTCACCACTCCCACCCTTCCAGGCCCTAGGGGACGCAAGGGGGGGGGAAACTGAGGCACAGAGAGGTGGAGCGACCTAGCCCAGGCCACTCCTTGAGGCAGTGCAGGGGCTGGCCTGACCCTGACAGTGACCTGGGCTGGGCTGAGGGGAGTGGAACAGGAAGGAGGGTTGACCCCAGAGAGGGCCACAAGTGAGAGGCCTGCCCAGGCAGGAAGCCCCCCAAAGTGGGTTCTGAAACTTCCAGGTACCGCTGAGGGGAGCCTAGTGAAGACCCTTAGGAAACAGCCCAGTCTCAGTCCGGGGTCCCCCACAGAGCAGTTATCAGCCAGGCTGTAGGTCAGTCCTCTGGCAGGCAATCCTCAGCATTGAGAGCCTTTGTCCATTAGTGTCAGCCCCGAGGGGGCCATAATGGGGGCCGCCCAATGTCCACTGTGATGTTGGTGAAGAGCGGTTGCCGAGATACCTCCAAAACCTGGTATCGCACTGACCCAATGCCATCTCGCTTCATGGTCAGCTTTGTGTTCTGAATCTTGGTAAACCTAAATAGGACAGAAATGGTCTGATCAGAGATAGACACCAAACCCAATGTGGGATCTCTAGGGCAATGGCTTACGACTGGGCAGGAGCCCTTCTGCTCTTGCATTTGCCCTCAAAACAGATCTCAATCCCCTTTGCTCAGTAAACAGAATTGTAACACCCTTACAAATCTCTCAGCTTAGACCTTCCTTCCAAGTCTGACACCCAAACATGAGGCATCCCACAGGCACCTCAAATGCAATGTGTTCTACGTCAGATGTGTCATCTTTACTCCCAAGCCTGTGCCATCTTGTTCCTCATCCTTTAGTCACCCCTTCACCAGCTACTTACAGAGCAGCCCCATGTGCCAGGATGTGCTCTGAGCACAGGGCTACAGTCAAAGCCAGGACAGTCAGGTCCTTCATCAGGCAAGTCTGCTTCTCTAGGGTGGGTAGCTAACAGACGAGGAAGACGTCAGGGTGCCAAGGGAGACAAGAAAGCTGCCTAGAAAAGGATGCATGTGTGATAACATGCTGAGGGCAGAGGGAAGAGCTCACCAGGCAGAGTTTAGAACACATGCTGACCCTAAACTGGAAATAAGATTTTGTGTAGCTGAGTAACTAAACCTTAATGAGCCAAACAGAAAAACAGAGTAAGATTAGCTTGAAGTTAGAGTATACTGTTCATGAGCAGGGCTCTCTAAGTCAGAGAAAGCATTTGCCTATTTTATTCTGTGAGAAGGCATTGAGGGGTTTTAATCCAGTTTGGGAGGCAGGCCATGAACAAGAGAGATAGGAAGAAAGAAACCAGTTAGAGGCCACTGTGGTGGCCCAAAGGAGATCAGAGGTTGGATCAAGGTTAAGACAATAAAGGGGAACCAGGTGTAGTGGCTCATGCCTATAATCCTAGCACTTTGGTAGGCCAAAGTAGGAGGATCATTTGAGGTTACTAGTTTGAGACCATCCTGGGCAATAGTGAGGTCCTGTCTCTACAAAAAATTTAAAAACTACCCAGATGGCTTGGCACCTGTAGCTCAGCGGCTAGGGCACTGGCCACATACACCAGAGCTGGTGAGTTCGAACCCAGCCCGGGCCCACCAAACAAATAACAATTATAACTACAACAAAAAATAGCTGGGCATTGTGGCGGGCACCTGTAGTCCCAGCTACTTGGGAGGCTGAGGCAAGAGAATTGCTTAAGCCCAAGAGTTTGAGGTTGCTGTGATCTGTGATCTCACAGCTCTCTACAGAGGGCGACATAGTGAGACTTGTCTCAAAAAAAACCTTCCCAGACATGGTGACACACATCTGTAGGCTCAGTTATTAAGAGACTGAGGCAGGAAGATCATGTGAACCCAGGAGTTGAGGTTGCAGTGAGCTATGGTGAAGCCACTGCACTCTAGGTGAAGCAACACAGAGCAAGCCCCCTTCTCAAAAGGAAGGAGGTACACAGGTAGGTAGGAAGGAGGGAGGGAAGGAAGGAAAAAAAGGTAGCAAGAAAGGGAGACTGTGGATGGGCTCACTCATGTTAGGACTTGCTGGTGGTTTGGATATTTAGAATGACAAAAAGAATCCAAGAGAACTAGATTTGAGGCAAAAATAAGTAGACAGCACCACCATCTACAGAGTCCCTTAAGCCAGCAATTTCTTGCTATCTTGCCAACCCAAGGCAGACATCACTAATTGATGATAGCACCCAGACAAGCTATTTTTTAAACAGGACCAGGGTTCCTGGCATGTAATTGCAGAGCTCCACTCCCAGCCTCATCTCAACTATTCTGATTCTGCCAGTCCTGAGCTCAGCTCAGCTCAGATCCTTCTGCTGAGCCACTTAGTATTGAGCACTCTCACTCAGTTGCCCTAAAGGCTCTTTTCTCCAGTGGTACCTGTGGCTCAAAGGAGTAAGGCGCTGGCCCCATATGCCGGAGGTGGCGGGTTCAAACCCAGCCCCGGCCAAAAAACGCAAAAAAAAAAAAAGACCCTTTTCTCCCAGTCTGTTGTCCCTTCCCTACCAATCATGGTTTTTTTATCTGAACTCCTTTTTCATCAGCTCTTTGGACTCCCCAGTACCTTAGACTTCTGCCAAACGCCCATCCTGCCTCAGTGTTGCAACCCACCTCCCCCATTCCTACACCCTAGGTTCAGAGCAGAAAAACCCTACTGTCCAACCTGGGGCATAGCACTGCCCCCCAATCTTTACCTCACCATGCCCCCTTGGACTCATCAGTTACTATAAGCCTAGTCCACTTCCTTTTCTGCTGCACTTAGTAACCAGGCTACCCTTCACCTTCCTCAAACTCCAAGACTATATGCCTCCTTAACACAAAGCTGATCCTGCCATTCTACGAGTCTCTCACCCCTCTGGGACAAAAGTTAAATTCCCAACCTGTCAGTACTCAACACCCCTACTACTCAGCACTGACACCACCACCACCCCAACTGTCACTACCAGCCTTCAGAGATCGTAAAACCAAGCAATTTAAGACTCTCAGTATATATTATGCATGTTCACATTCCAGGCTCTTAGAAATCCATACTGGGCTCCTCCATTAGCCTGGTGAATACAGCATTGTGCCCAAGGTAGGCATGAGACAAATATCTGTTGAATGAATGATTCTTTTCAAATTCCAGTTCACCATCACCTCCCCCAAGAAGCCTCCCACATCACTCCCTCTTCTGCCAGGACAGCACTTTGCTCTGATCTCCTTGTGTTATAACTGCCTGTCTCCCTCCTGAAATGAACTTATGAGGGAGAGGAGGATTGGGAATTACTGCTCTGGGTCCCCTGTTGCCTTAAAGCTTGACAGCTATCACAGAGCAGCTTGAAGAAGCCCTTGTCTACATTTCACACACCCTTTAGGCCCTTCTTCCTGCCAGTCCTCGACACCAAATGCAGCCACCTCTGAAGAAACGAAGCTGCCTCTTCCGAACTCAGGGGTGTTGGCACTATCTTTCCATGCCCCATCCCGCATTGCTTAGGCCACCTTCGTCAGGTCCATAGGAGCTGTGCCCAGCACCCGCTGGCTCTCATCCTTTCTGCTCTGGCAGGACCAGTATAAGCAGAGGTCCCACAAGGTACACAAGTGAGGTCTGCAAGGGCCAATAGGAATGCAATCTATTCAAGGCCAATCTGAGCTCTAATTTTCATTTCTAGTCACCTCTAGGCATCAGGCCAGGGGTGGGCAATATCTGGAGCTGAAGCTGAGCTGAGGGTGGGGTATAAGGATCAGGGGTGCCAGGAATCGCCTCTAGGGAGTCAGGGATTTAGGGCCTTGGATCACCTCTGAGGATTAGTGGTACAAGGAGTCACCTCTCAAAGGTTAAGGAAGCTTGGAGGTCACCTTGAGGGGGTCAGGGATCAGGAGCACTTGGGTCAGGGGTACTGGGGGTCACCTTTGAGGGTTGGGCTCATTATGCTTGTCCCGGTCATGCTTGATCATGCGGTAGCGGCCTATCCGGATGTCTGGGCGTGAGATCTTCATCCCAGTCAGGGAGATCCTGAGGATGGGGACAGACGGACTGGAGCAGGCACTGGGAAGGGCAAGGAGCCCCACCCAGCCTGCACCTCACAACTCTCACCCAGCCAGTCTACTCCCCACCCCATCTCTACTCACCGGTTGAAGATGTCATCATCCTCACCGCCCCAGCCCCAGTACTCGTTCGGGAAGCCATTAATTCTCAGAAACTGGGCCTTACTCAGGC